CCGCTACCCCAGGGGGTCAGGACTCGCTGCTCTCACTGTCGTTGATTGAGTGGGGCCGTCTCCAAATGGCGGACAGCTCCCTGCTGGCATTGCGCCGAAAGACGGAGGGTTCCGAAGGTAGCCACGACCGAACTGGCTCCTACGAGCTTAAGCAGGGCCTGTTGATGAGATGGGACAGTTTGTCCCGGCGGCATGCGATTGTGGTGCCTTCTGCTGTGAGGGGGAAGGTTGTCTTGGCCGCACACGAACGCCTCTTGCATTTGGGAGTTAACAAAACGCTTGCCCTGCTTCAGCGTGACTATTATTGGCCGGGAATGGGGGGTGACGTGGTGAATATTCTGAAGGGTTGTGTTGAGTGCGCCAGACGGAAACCACCGCCCGTGGCAGCTAATCCACCGCTGCAATCTATTCAGGTCTCGCGCACTAACGAGCTCGTTGCACTCGATATTCTGGGGCCCTTTCCGGTCACGCCTAGGGGTAATAAGTACCTGTTGGTGGGGGTCGAATATTTTACCCGGTGGCCTATGGCGTGGCCACTCGCCAACCAGTCGGCGGCGGCTGTGACGGACGCCTTTGTCCAGGGCTACGTCCTGGACAAGGGGGCTCCCGAACGCTTGCTGACTGACCAAGGGAAAAATTTTTCGAGTAAATTACTGCAGGAGGTGTGCAACCTGTTGGGTACCAAAAAGGTGCGTACCTCCCCGTACCACCCGCAGACGGACGGGATGGTGGAGAGGCTTAACAGGACATTGACCTCTATGCTGTGCCAGCAGGTGTGTGAGTCGCATGTTGATTGGGACCTGCAGGTCCCTGGGGTCCTTGCCGCGTATAGAATGGCCCCCCATGCAGCTACGGGGTTTTCCCCGTTTTTTCTAATGTACGGTCGGGAAGCCGACCCGCCCATGGAAACGCAGCTGGGTCTGCCCGCACCACGAACTAATTCTAAATTGGCAGAGCATATTAAATTTAATATTCATAAACTGACAGAGGCAAGGGAGGCCGCACGGCTTAATTCGCGGGCTCGCCAAATTGCGAACGAGCGGTTGCGGGCACGGAAGGTGTCCGTGCACAATTGGGAACCAGGTGACAAGGCCTGGCTGCATTGCCCTCAGGCACCTTTGGCCACGTCGCTTAAATTGTTGAAGCCGTGGCGGGGACCCGTGGAGGTCGTGCGGGTGGCACGCCCCCAGTGCGTTCAGATAAAATGGGGAAAACGCCGTTGGTACGTCCACCCCTCCCGACTGAAACCGTTCTCGCCTCCGTATGGCCTCCCCTTGTGTCGTGAGGGCCGAGCATGTGACGTGACCGACGACCCTGAGGGGGAATTGTCCTTGCCTGCTCCTCACATGTCTCCGCCTGATCCGCTCCCAGGTGTCTCGGAACTGACTGCTGCCGACCACCGGCGGCCGGATCTTCACGGCGGGGCCGGTCCTTCCAGGCCCGACCCGTGCCGTCTAGAGCTGCCGGAGACACCGGACGGTCGCCAACGTCCCGTTCCATACGACGGACCGGCCAGACGGACTCGCGCTAGGTCGCGCTACTTTGTGTAACCTACCACGTGCGGAGTCGAGGCAGCCGGAGCGCCTCGGCACTGCGTGGGTCACAGTGACAATTGGCGCGTTCGTTTTACGGTGTTCGCTTTTATTGTGTTGTTCGTCGGGCTGTATATTGCTTCATATTTAAGGTTGTGTTATGTTGTTGTTGTTGTGTTACGGGGCACACTGGGATGTGGAGTTCTTTATTACTGCGTTGCGTTATGTTGTGTTGTAGGTTAACAGCCGGGCCGGCTGCAAGCTATGTGGGAGGGGGTGATGTAGAGGTGATACGCGCTGGGATTAAGGATCGTATGCACAGTGCGGGATGATTGGCTGTGTAGGTGGTGACGCGCGCTGACGGTGGAGGATCAGGGGTCAGCGCGGGGTCGTGGGTTACGGGGTACCGATTGGCTGTGGGCGGTGACGCGCTGAGAGGGAGTGATCAGGTGGCAGCGCAGTGTGATTGGTGGAGTAATGTTAACACGCGCTGGGGAAAGCGGATCGTAGAGAGAGTGCGTCGTGATTGGGTCATTAAGGAACGACGCTCACGTCGACGCCGCATCAGCTCCGTCTCTCGTGAGCAGGGGCTATAAAAGGGGATGCACACAGGCGTAAGGGCAGTGTGTAACCAGCGAAGAAGGAAGACGGGGATGAAGACCTAGAGCCCTGCGGTACCTAGCCCCGCTGTCCTAAGGGGACCGGGACTCTGTGTAACCCAGAGGCGAGTGTAGTGGGTGTAGCCATAGGTCTACACGAGCCGAATGTACTATGTGTAGCCAGGGCATAGGGCTTACACGAGTCGAGTGTATTGTGTAGCCAGAGGCATAGGGCTTACACGAGTCGAGTATATTGTGTGTAGCCAGAGGCATAGGGTCTACACGAGTCAAGTGTATCGGGTGTAGCCAGAGGCCTAGAGCTTACACGAGATTAGTGGAGTGTGTCGGAGGAAGAAGAGAGACCACACGTTGTATTGTGATACCTAAAGGATTTAATAAAAGTGTGTTACCCGTCAAGAAGTTCCTGCCGTCAATTCCCATACTTCAAATGTAAAAAAATCGTGGAAGTTGGTTCGTAATTGAGTGTGTTCGTAAGTCGATGACTGCATGGATACAGAATAACATCCCCATGCTGTTAAAACGCCGCAATCTACCTAAATTCACCCAGCAGAAGGCTTGTCGGTGATCCAGGCCTTGCCGTTGACCAAAATTAATAATATCAGAGGTCGAGTGGCCACCTCGGGGTTTCAGTTTCAGTTTAATATATTAGGATTGACCCTGTGAGCCATTCGGCTCTTGATTTGGGTTCAACCGCAACAAACAATAAAATTACAAGATACACCTAAAATTCATTGTACACAAATCTGAACATCACATACGTAAACAATAAAATCCTACAGAAAAAAAAACAAATCGTCCATGCTGTGTACAGAAAGTGCAAAAAATTCCATTTCGATGTATGATTCCAATAACAATTATAATACAATACAGATAAAAAAATTAATTATAAATCTATACTAAATAAAAAAAATCGGGCCAAACCAAGCCTCTCTAAAACTTACTAAAACAATGCTATATAAACAAAGTAACAGTTTTCCCAACAAATGTGATTAAAAGTTTACAATAGCGACACACACAACACACATCACGAAACCTAGCATCCTTCGCTAGCTGCATAAGTCAATCCATAACAGCCGGATTAACAATAGCAGTAGCAGCGCACTATAATCAAAATACATAATAAGTTCATACGTCGGTCATCTATAGCTATATTTTTTTATTTCAGGCCACAGGATAGCAGTTCCAGCTATCGTTGTTCGACTCGAGAGCATTTTTGAGTGATCGTCTTGTTGGTAACGATCCAAGCTGGAGTTTATTTGTGATAGCATTCCAGACCCTGGGGGCATCTATAGCAAAATATCTTTCTCCAATATTTGCACGGCAATTAGGAATGCGAAACTGGTAAATGAGCGAAGATCTTAGCTCATATTTGTTTTCCGAAACAATAAGGAGATCCATGAGGTAATGTGGATTTTTTAGTTAATACATCGTAAATAAATAATCTCATGCATAAGACGTCTATTATTAAGAGATGTTAAGTTTAACTCAATGTAGAGATCGCAGTGGTGGGTCCTACAGTATATGGGCAGTTCATTGCAAATCTTAAGGCCGAATGATATATTGAGTCAAGCTTCTTCAGAACAGTACTGGTTGCTGATGTATAAACGATGTCACAGTAATCAAGTAGAGGCATTATGGTATCTTTTATCAATTCCAAACGGAACATAGGTGGAAAACAGTGTATGTGTCGATAAATAAATGTGATTAGCATATGTAGTACTAATCACATTCCTGCATTTCCCATAAATATGCTAAATTCCTCTTGATATGCAAATTATTTTGTCGAAGCGCCCTTTCCCCCCCTTCCAACCCAGCTTATATATATGCTCCAAGCTCGTGTGCTGTTTCATTCAGACGCTGTCTCCCCGACAGACCTGGTTTTCACCTGAGGACGGCTGCTTGCGTTGTGGCCGAAACGTCGTGAGAATTATTTTATTATGTTTTATTTTTATTTTATTACTTCCCTTCTACGTGACTTTACCGAAAGAACCAAGAAGATTAAACATCATGTTGCCAATTCCAGCGTGACCATAACATTTGAACCACCAAATTAGTGGTCGACAATGCTGTCGTGATCCCTACACTCCTGTATGGCGCAGAGATGTGGGGAACATATAGAAGATTCCTAAAGGCACTTGAGAAATTCCATGGAAAATCCTTGGCATTACCTACCAGGACAAACAAAGCAACGTCAGCGTTCATCTTGGAAATCTCGAGTCCATCAAGTCACAAAGACAATGCCATCATGAAACCCGACAAACAGGCACGAAGGAAAGAACGCACCCAGGCCAGACAGGACACTCAAATATTTAAAACGATAAATAACAACACATGCTGTCACTGTGACAAGATATGTGGTTCCAGGATTGGCCTTATCAGCCACCTGTGTACTCAAAACCCTGACCATTATTACTGTCCGTGGACGATCATCATACTTGTCCTCGAGGGATCCCAGATGGCGAGTGCACATTTGCACCGTTCCTCTGGACTACATGGTGGCGCGAGGTTCAGCCTTCTGTGTATTGCACTTGCCCCTGCCCTGGCTCCTGTTCTGTCCTTGATTTGACCTCGGCCTTGAGACATTGACAGTCCAGGCAGTCCTCGACATACAAATGGGTTCCGATCCTGAGATCCGTTTGTAAGTGGAACAATTTGTAATTCAGACCACAATAAAGTACCGAATATAAATGCACATACGGTCAGTGCTATCAAATATGTTACAGTTCAACATAGAGTAGCATTGTTAAATAAGAATAAATATTGTAAATTTGCATGTAATATTGTATAGCAAATTAAAAATAAAATAAAGTTACGTCAATATTTAAAAAATAGTTTGGTTTTAACTTACCATTGAGTCCTGACGCTGGCTTGCTTGTTGGAAGGGGAGTAATGAGTTCCCACAATTGCGCACACACACGGGGGCGCGAGCTCATGCACGCACGCACGCACACACAAAACAACGACAAAGATTCCCTGTGTAGATCTCACAGGCTGTTGGGGAAAGTGATGTTAGCGAGCAGAGCCTATGAAGACCGGCATGACCTTCATAGGCCGTGGGTGGCGATGTTTATAAACCACACCAGGTACTAATTTGAGGCCGAGTCAACCGAGGAGTTTAAGGACACGTGAGGTGTCGAATGCTCGCTGGTAGGTCACGGAACAGACCCAGGTACCATGGGTTCACAGACTGAGATGATCGGGAGATGCACCACCTGTGCACCTTAATGTGCCAACTTGCCATGTTTTAGCCGCCTGGCGCGCCGTTCGTTACTGTGAATATCGCTCCTCTGCCCTCTCTGCTGTTGTTGGAGGGCGACTGCCTCCAACTGTCCAGTCGTGTTATTTACGAGCCTCCTCCAGAGGACAATCTTGACACTGCTAGTACCAGTCATTGGCAAGTCTACTCAGCTTCCATATCCTCTTGTACCACATAATTCCATTTCTTCTCTAGTCCCTGCCCGTTTATCCCCCTCTATCCAGCCTAACAAATCTGTTTGGGCATACGGTCTACATGACCCAGGCAACACAGCCTTGCCGCCTGTCAGAGGAGCCAGGGTGAATCTTTCTAGCTGGCGAAGATGTTCCATTAGGTGGGTCCACGTTCCACAAGCACGAATACAAGGGATGAGATTTTGGAAAGGGTGGCGTGACACTACTTCTCTAAGCATCCCGGGCCAGCATCCATTCCAGTGAAATTAACTGCCTTGGTCGTGACTTTGGCTCTGAACAAAGAAGTCACTCAAGGGTTCAAGTGAAGGTGCACGCAGGAGCCGGGCACCAGAGGGGCAGCTGTCGCAGTGAACGGAGACTGCGCCTCACCTGCGATGCGATGCCACTGGCCATTGCACAACGAGCATGTGGGGGAGACCGTGGCAGAGAACTCCTCCATGCCATCGTTATCCAGCACAGTCACCTGTAAGTGACACGCAAGCACAAAAGACAAAGATCCCCCCCATGTAGCCTTAACAGACCATTGGGGCAGGTGCTCTTGAGCGAGCACCTATGAAGGCCGGCACGGTCCACGAGGGGATGCGTGGCCAGTATCACGCCCGACTGCCTTTGTCTCCCCCAGTGGTCGATGTTTATACAACGCACCAGGTATTCATTTCAGGCTGAGTCGACCTAGGGGAGAAGGCCCAGGACCGGTGATCGTCACTGGTTTTGGCCGTGAGCAGGATCACTGGGTTCGTAGCGAAACGCGCTAATCGTTGCAACACCGCTCCCCACAGCATCAACTAGAGCCGGTTACGGCATGGACTGGGATGGTGTGGCCGGATCACATGTACTGCTGCCTTCATCTCTCCAGTGGTTGCATTCACATATCACTGCGTCGACAATAGGAACCCAAGGTCAGGCTCGTGGTAATGCCTCACCCTGAGAGGATAGTCCATGGCCAAGAATCAAACCCAGGTTGTTGGGATCGTAGTGCAAGGTACCAACATTGCACATGAGCATAATGTTTCGTGGCAAACATACATGTATATATATATGATGAACTTCTTTTGCACCATAAGTAGCCAACCGTGCTAATCGGAGGTGCAATCTAACGTCGGTATATATTATTCAACAACTCATCCATTTCTCCAAGCAAAGTGGACTAAAGGGTCGAGTCATATGAGAGGTGTTTTGTCGCACGCCTACGATCTAAGCACTTGGGGGGGAGGGGGGCAAAGGGTTGGTGGGCTCCAACAAAATTGTGAAACTCCCAACACACTGAGCTGCAAGGGGAGCCAGGAGGTGGCAGTGGAGTGAGTGAATTTAATCCCTTTGTATGTGTGGGTTTTGTCCAGCTACTCCAGTTTCTTCCAACATGAAGCCAAACTCATAATTTGTACTGGCCAAACATTCCAATGCAGGAGCCTCCCCTGAGGTTTTTGTGGATAATCAAAAGGCGTATGTCACTGGTATACAGCAGAGGTGGAGTGGTGGTGAAGAGGTTAGCACTCCGCGCCTTTAACCGGGCGACCACGGCTAACACCGGTGGTGAGTGATACCTAAAACAGTCCTGGGCTTCACCGCTTCACCAACCTACAATGAAGATGGTGAAGTATGGTCAAACAACCCTCACGACTAAACAACAAAACTATATATATTTTTATTTCACCAGGTATGGCACACTGAGCTACAAAGCTCTTTTGCAGAAGCGATCTGGCCCCAAATGATAGCTCAACGAAGTGGCTTTTCACGTGGAAATGTTTTGCAGCTAAAATACTCTCATGCATATTAATTCAAAATGTGGAGGGAAAAACCAGAGGACCAGAGAAAAATCCACGCGACAATGGGGAGACAGAACATGCAAACTCCAGATATACATTCTAGATTTGAAGCTTTCGTGACTGCAAGGATTCATACTCTTAGGTTTTTTCGGTAAAGTCACGTAGGTAAAAAATAAGTAAATAATAATAGAAATAATAATAGAAATAAAATAATAAATCACGTTTCGGAGGCAACGCAAGTCTCCGTCATCAGGTGGGACCGTCACAGCTAAATTTACTGTATCAAGTGAGGCAAAATTCCAAGAGACAAGCTCTTAAATACAAGTTAAGTGGGAGGGGAAGGGCTTATCTGAATGTGGTCGCCAGTGAATGGAACGTGTTGGGGGGGTGGGCGGGGCTAAAAGAGAACCAATCGGTGTACCTCGACTTGGGGTTGTAACCGGTGTTGGCTGACAATCCAAAAAAAAAAAAGCAGTACTGTTAAATGCTGGTGGATGTCAACACTCGGTAAAGTAGAAGAGTACCTGTAAAATAAGATGGTATAAATGTTTAGTTAAATCTTTTTTACACGGTTAATAACATCTTTCCAATAATTACTCAGTTTGTACCCATCAGCACGGTTGCAGTTATGTCTGTGTTTGTATATCTGGATGGCTTCGTGTACAAACCTTTGATGGTAGCCAGAAAGTTTGCAGAGCACCTTGGTCTCGGAAAAGACAATATCATGAGAACCCACAGCTTTGTAGCAATGTTCGGCAACGGCGGAAGACTCAATTTTGCCGTGTTTCAGATCTGACTTGTGCTCGCGGACACGATCGGAGACATGACGTTTTGTTTCCCCAATGTAACAATCACCACAGCTGCAACTCAGTTTATAGACTCCAGGGTATTGAAAGTCAGGAATGACATATTTTACAGATGGGATTAGATCACGGATTTTATGTACTGTACTGAAACGGACTTGGATATTATGTTTGTTTAGAATTTTTGAGATCTTTTTGGTCACGCCTGCTATGTATAACGTTATAGTTTTGATCGGAGTTTCAAGTGGTTGTTTCTATATGGTGGGAGAAACAGCTTGGCGGATCGTGCGGTCAGAGTATCCGTTCATCATGAGGGCCCGATGTAGAAAGTGGATTCTCGTGGAAATGTATCGCAACCAAATACTCTAAACACATATTTCTAAATGTAGAGGGAAAAGTCGGAGGACCCGGAGAAAAATCCACGTGATCACGGAAAGAACATGCAGTCTCCAAATATACAGCAGGCGTTGGGGTCAGAATCGAACCCACGACATCCTGTATACCAGGCGAATGCATTAACCTGACTGTCCTCAAAGATTCCTTAAGGAAGTAACCTTCTAATGTAAGTATGTATGCATGTTGAACTTCTTTCGCACCGTACCTTGGCCAACCATGCTGTTATAATCATGCTAAGTTTATATATATATGACTACAGGACTGCCAACAACAAAGTCCCGTACATTTCATAAAAATGGATGTTTATCAAGTCAACACGTGTAAAAGATCGTTTGAAATGCATTGGAAGGATATATTTAAACTACGCCTACAGGTGGCAGTGCTACAGTATTGCATTTCAACCAATGCTAATAATTCTATATTCAGTCCCTCCAGAAAAACGCGATTATGCGATCGCATGATTCCATGCAAAATCAGCCAAAGTCCGCATATTTATGCGGGGGGCGCGTTTTTTCAAATACGCCGCACTTTCGCTGCATAAATTGCAGATTTCCGCGTGCAAAATATGCGGGCTTGCATTATTTCATAATCCCCGCATTTTCGTTGCAAAAAGTCACATATCTTAGCAGAAAGTTGAAAAATGTTGCGTTTACTTCACACAAGCGCAGCCATTTCCCCTGTTGCCATGGGAACGTTATGAAGTGTTAGAGGCTACGTAGTTAGTTTTATTCAGGAGTTTATGCAACTTTACAGTTGTAAGATTGCACTTTTTTGTTAGTAGTATGTAAATTTACATTACTGTAAGACTGTACTGTTACTGTATTGCTTACGTTACTGTGCACTGAAAACCCTTATTTTAACAGAAGATGTCTGTTTTGTATAGCTACCTCTGTAAAACAGGAAGCACACATTTAATTTTTTAATATTTTATTTATTCATTTTTACAGAAGTTGTAGCATATTCATTTTGTAAAGCTACAGAACTTGTTCGACTCAATGTTTTGTAAGTTTGAGCCATCTGTTTGTTAAGGTCTGAAATAAAACAAGATGAGAACTTAAATATTCCCAGCACTTTCTGTGATGTAGTATGCTTGCTTATCATAGGAAGTAATAAGAAATGACTCTTTACATTAAAGTAGTAGCCGAGTGAATAGGGTGTTGTGGGAATCACTTTTTTTTCTCTTTTTCATCAAACCGCAGTTTTTGCAAGTTCCCGCAATTTTTGCAAGTTCCCGCAATTTAATCGCATAAAATTGCATAAATATCCCGCATATTCCATCGCATTTTATAAGAAAACGTGCCGCATAATCAACGATTTTTGCCCGCAACAATCACCAAAAAACTCCGCGTTTTTCTGGAGGGACTGTATATTGTTAGTGCTCCTGCTAAATCAGCCTGCGCTCCAGACCTCAAGGATGGTTTGAGGATACAGCCTTCCAACATCTCTAGTATAAATCATACTACTTCATGTAAAACTACAGTACAGCACCGATAGCAATACAGTCCATTACATGCTGTATAAGGGTTGTTCATGTAGAAATGTTAAACTAAAATTCGTTTGAAGTAGATAGTAATTTAAATTACGCCTGCAGGTGGCAGAGAACCATGCCAAGCTGGTGCGCTACACGGCGCTGCTGCAGAATCTGATGGTGCGTGTGGAGCGAATGGAGCAGGGTTATGACCGCTACACAGAGCTGGAGATGGAGCAGCTAGTGCAGCAGCTGAAGCTGGAGGTCTCCAGCGCCACGCTAGATCGTCTCCACCACTGGTTCAGTCACGATTGTCACAAAGGCACGCAATTGTTTCCATCAGGGGTGCTGCAATGCCCACAGTTCCTTTTGGGCAGATATGCAGACTCAGCTTTTGCAGCTGAAGGTGGCATGTAAAAGGGGAGTACCTTGGATCACTGGAATGTGGAGGCAGCAGTTCTTGCAGTCGCTGGACTGTGTTGGATGGCTTCTCATAGAGAGCTGAATTGAACTTCACGAGCAAATTGGGGAGGAAAATGTTAAAGCCACTGCTTAAGAATTTTCATACATTTCGTGAAATCTATACACAGTATCTGAACATGAAAAACCGATACTGTACTTTCTACTGCATGTGTAGGACTCGTACTGACGTGACAGCTTCTTTGTCTTTCTCGGTTCTTTCTTAACGCGTGTAGTTCACATCTCCTCCATCGGCATCACACAATGTCCCTCTATTCTCTCTAACGCACAACTCCCCATCAACATCACTCCATGTCCCTCCGTTCGCTCGCTCCGCTGGCTTCGCTCGCTCTCCCTCTGCTCCTCTTCTCCAGCGACCTCCCTCTCTGCTCTCTCTCTCTCTCTCCCCAGCTCGGTCGCTCTTTGTTCTCCCTGCCGTCTCACTCCGTCGTAGCTTCTCCACCAAGGTCCGTTACTCCACTGCTATCCTATACTGTATTCTCTTTATCCGCTGCTACCATACTCTGTCTTCTCTTTGTCCACTGCTACCGTACACTATCTCCCTCTGTCCACTGCTACCTTATACTATACTCTCTTGTCTACTGCTACCGTATACTATATTCTCTTGTCTGCTGCTACGTCTCTTCCTCTGTCTCTTGTCCCAAGCACCAACCAACTCCCGTTTCTCCCCACGCTCTTTGCCTTTATCCCCGAACCAATTTGCCCCAATTAGATCATCCCCCGCTCCTCCATTCGCCCCCAGCCTCACGTGATGTTGTTATTGCAGCCATCGAGGCGCCAATTCCCGACACCCATCTCTCTCGTCCAATCACCGGCCTGCGTCCTCGATTACCCCCGAACACCTGCAGGCCTCCCTTAATTACCTTACCACTTTAATTGGCACAATAACAACAGTATAGCGCCTCGTTCCGTGTCCCATTTTGCCCTCACTGTCCGCCGCATGTCCGTATCACAACCCAACGCATGACGCGTGTTTTCTTAAGTCCTACACATGTACTAAATGGCTGTGTTAAAGCTCGTGAAAAAATACACACATACTGACAAAATATTACATTGCACTCTGGTCATGGGGATTGTTCGATCAGACTGTACTTTCAAACACTGGCAGAGCCAGTGGGGGGGGGGGGGTGGCACGTGCCCCCCCCAAATGATCTGATCGAAATCCCTAATTTCGATTGGATAATTGGGGTTTATCTCCATATATATAAAAGGAAAAGTTGTGATTATGTGTGTCTGTTCAAAAATGTTTAGCGTACTTCCCGATATGCAACAAACTTGAAATTTGCCATGTCGGTACTTTCCAGACTGTACACAATGGGGGGGAGGGGGCGCAATAATGGATATATTTTGCACGGCAAGTGAGCTGTGATGTCACCGGCGCATGCGGAAGCGTCATGCAGTGTGCCTGTTTTTTTATTACTCAAAGAACCAGTAATAAATCTACATTATAGACTGCCAGTACGTTCACTCAGGTTAAGAACCAGGCTACAGTTTACAATATAGATTACCAGTACATTCACCAAACTTAATAACCAGGCTCCATTTCGATTTAAAGCTTTCGTGACTGCAGGGATTCATCTTCTTGGTTCTTTCGGTAAAGTCACGTAGAAGGGAAGTAATAAAATAATAAAAATAAAACATAATAAAACAATTCTCACGACGTTTCGGCCACAACGCAAGCAGCCGTCCTCAGGTGAAAACCAGGTCCGTCGAGGCGACAGAGTCTGAATGAAACAGCACACGAGCTTGGAGCATATATATAAGCTGGGCGCATTGACAAAGGAATTTGCATATCAAAAGGAATTTAGCATATTTATGGGAAATGCAAGAATGTGATTAGTCCTGCATATGCATGTGCATTATGCAGGATTAACAGCATCAAAGGGAGCTGCAGTTACTGCTGCTGCTGAAATTACTGCTGCTGCTGCACTTGCTGCTGCTGCTGCACTTGCTGCTGCTGCTGCACTTGCTGCTGCTGCACTTGCTGCTGCTGCACTTGCTGCTGCTGCTGCACTTGCTGCTGCTGCACTTGCTGCTGCTGCTGCAGTTGCTGCCTTATCCATTTTAATATAACACTATGTATTATTCTACCCACCCTAATGTGTATCATACTGCTATATGTTTACTGTACAATTACGACACCATACATTACTCTGCACACTGCACCATGCCAGTGAGTGGAACGCGGTCTGAAAGTCACCGTAAACGCGGTCTGAAAGTCACCGTAAACGTGAACACGTTTACGGTGACTTTCAGACCGCGTTCCACTCACTGGCATGGTGCAGTGTGCAGAGTAATGTATGGTGTCGTAATTGTACAGTAAACATATAGCAGTATGATACACATTAGGGTGGGTAGAATAATACATAGTGTTATATTAAAATGGATAAGGCAGCAACTGCAGCAGCAGCAGCAAGTGCAGCAGCAGCAAGTGCAGCAGCAGCAGCAAGTGCAGCAGCAGCAACTGCTGCAGCAGCAGTAACTGCAGCTCCCTTTGATGCTGTTAATCCTGCATAATGCACATGCATATGCAGTACTAATCACATTCATGCATTTCCCATAAATATGCTAAATTCCTTTTGATATGCAAATTCCTTTGTCAATGCGCCCAGCTTATATATATACTCCAAGCTCGTGTGATGTTTCATTCAGACTCTGTCGCCTCGACGGACCTGGTTTTCACCTGAGGACGGCTGCTTGCGTTGTGGCCGAAACGTCGTGAGAATTGTTTTATTATGTTTTATTTTTATTATTTTATTACTTCCCTTCTACGTGACTTTACCGAAAGAACCAAGAAGATGAACCAGGCTCCAGTCTACATTATAGATTGCCAGTACACTCACTCCGATTAAGAACCAGGTTACAGTATACATGAGTGTTTTTTCAATTTTATTTAATTATTTTTATTTTCACTTTATTTTTATTATTATTTTTCTATCTACGTGACTTTACCGAAAGAACCAAAGAATATTATTAACCATTCACATATTTGAAAAAAAGTGAATATCACGTTTACTGTATGATATACAAGAAACTGGTAGGTTATGAAAACGAAAAAAAAATTGAAAGTAAAACACTTTGTGAGAGCTGCCTGAGGTTGTAATTTTAAGCATGTTTTTCCTCCGAATGTAGTGAAACACATAATTGTTGATTATCCAAATGTAATGACGCCATATTATATATGGAAAAAAAATTCTGAGAAAGAACATAACACCGATTACTATTCATTGTTGTAAATGTTCAGTGCAGTAACTCATAACTTGCTTCCTCTGGTTTTCCCATCCACATTTAGAAACATGCATTTAGAATATTTGGCTGCTATAAATGTTCACTTCGTTGAGCTAACATTTGTAGCCAGGTCGCTTACGAAATCCAACCGTATAGCACATTGGGCCTAACCAGGTAAAATAAAAAGGTTGCATTCTCAGGCACGTTCTTTGGCTGATGTTCCATCATCCGTCTCGTCCTTCTGCCATCATCTCTTCAAGAAATGATTCTCCCCGTGCATTTATAACTAAAATAAAACAAATTGGGCTACCCTGTGTGTGAATCTATCACACGCTCGTCTTATTGACACACAACATATTTTTTGTAAAATATATGGTTCAAAGAAGGCCGTATCAGGCATAGGCGGGTGTTTTCTGACCATACTTCCCCACACCGGTCAGTGCGAGCCGGTGACGCTGGGAGAGCGGAGGTAGCGGGGGTTGACCAGGACCGGTTCAGATATCAGTCGCCTCTGATGTTCGCCGTGGTCAGGAACCAAACTCGGCTGGGATTTGCAGCGCCGTGTGCCAACCACTGTGCCACCGCTCCATGCCCACTGTATAACACCGTACTCAACAACAACAAAAGCTTCAAAATACAATTCTGCAATAACGTCTCATGCAGATAAATAACAACTCGTGCGTACAAAGTATGTGTGGGTGACGACCGTCCAGTAAATTAAAGATCGCTCACAGAATCATTATTCAAACAGTCGTGAAGATTAAAGCTGCAGGCATTGGCCAAGCGATACACAACACAGGAGCCTCATGAACACCAATCTCAAGACTCGGTGAAGATTTCCTCAGTAAATAATTGACATTATCGCATTGTTATTATAGGACCAAACAGGGCACTCGTACTGCTCTCGTGCGCGTGTTCGCGCTACGCTGCGCTCTGAACCTGGGGACCCGGGTTCGATTCCCGCTCACGGCCAACACCGGTGACGATTATATATAAACCGGTCCTGGGCCTCCCCTAGGTACACTCAGCCTCAAATGAGTACGTGGTGCTGTGTGTAAACATCGCCACTGGGGAGACAAAGGCGGTCGGGCGTGGTGCTGGCCATCCACCCCTCGTGTGCCGTTCCGGCCTTAATAGGTGCCCGCTAACAGCACTTGCCCCTACAGCCTGTTACGGCTACACGGGGGACATTTGTCTTTGTGTCTGTAAATGATGAGTAGCGATGGTAGTCTCTACTCGAGGGATGTGTGTACTGTACACGACGTGTCCGGAGCGAATCGTTATTTCAATATATGACTAAAATAGAACTAATTTGAATTTACGAATAAAATAAAACAAATTATGGTACCTTGTGTGTGTGTGTATATCACTCGCTCGTCTTATAGACACACACAAAGATCCCCGCTTTAGCCTTAACATATTTCTGGTGAGAGCGCTGTTAGCGAGCAGCACCGCGGCACACGAGGGGGTGGGTGGCCAGAAGCACGCCCGGCCGCCTTTGTCTCCCTCGTGGCGATGTTTACACACAGCACTCATTTGAGGCTGAGTGGACTTAGAGGAGGACGTAGAAGCGGACCGGTGTTGGCCCTGAGTGGGAATCGAACTCGGGTCGGCGGGTTTATAGCGCAGCGCGCTAACAACTACACACAAACACATCAACACACAAACACATTAACACACAAACATCAACACACAGACACATCAACACACAAACACATCAACACAGCCACAGCAACACAGAATCACAAACACATCAACACAGACACATCAACACACAGCCACATCAATACACATCAACACACAGACATCAACACACAAACACATCAACACACAAACACACAGACACATCAACACACAGACACATCAACACAGACACATCAATACGCAAACACATCAACACGCACGCATCAACACACAGACACATCAACACACACACATCAACACACAAACACATCAACACACAGACACATCAACACGCAGGCACATGAACACACAAACACATCAACACAAACACATCAACACACAGACACATCAACACAGACGCATCAACACATCAACACACAAACACATCAACACGCATACACATCAAGACACATAAACACACAGACACATCAACATACAAACACATCAACACACAGACACATCGACACAGGCACATCAACACGCAAACACATCAACACAAACACATCAACACACAAACACATCAACACACAAACACATCAACACACAGTGACACACAAACAAATCAACACACAGGCACATCAACACACAAACACATCAACACACAAACACATCAACACACAGTGACACACACAGTGACACACAAACACATCAACACACAAACACATCAACACAAACACATCAACACACAGACACATCAACACGCAAACACATCAACACAAACACATCAACACGCAAACACATCAACACAAACACATCAACACAAACACATCAACACAAACACATCAACACAAACACATCAACACGCAAACACATCAACACAAACACATCAACACACAAACACATCAACACACAAACACATCAACACACAGTGACACACAAACACATCAACACACAGGCACATCAACACACAAACACATCAACACACAAACACATCAACACACAGTGACACACAAACACAGTGACACACAAACACATCAACACACAAACACATCAACAACAGTTACAGAACGCCATCGCACGGCGTTTACATGACACGCTACGTAACGACGCTGTCGTTAATGTAACGCGTTCACCATTGTTGTTGTTGTTGTGGCTCTCGCGAGATCTCGTGACAGGCGCGGCTCTCGCGAGATCTCGCTAACCCGGAAAAAGCGGGAGGGAGGCGGAGACGTTGGCTGTGACGTAGGCAGTGACGCGGTGCACGAAGACGGCCGAGCCACGCGAATCGAAGCTCGGCAGTGCCGTGGAGTCGACGGAGGCGACAACAGCGATGGCGAACGAAGCCGACATCCTCTCGCTCTGCGTGGCCATGGCGAACATGACTTTTCAAGGTGCGCGCCACTATCGCACAACACAGCAGCAATAACACAAACCCATAACATACAAAACACATCAGCATTAATGTACAAATTATAGCACTGTCGCACATTTATTATAATGTAAGTTCACAAATTCATATTCTCCTCTACTGACTCTGATTTTTGTCCCCCCACCCCGTGTCCACAGAGCATAAAGAGTGCATGGTGACCCGGGCTACAGCCAGTCGTCCTCATAGAGGCCCCAGACCAAACATATTTGAGGAGTCGTCTGGGTTCCCCGCACGTGGTGGTGGAAAGAGAGGCGAATATGCACACCATATGGGCACCTGGAAAGCAAGGAATGGTGCAGGATGGACACGAGGTGATGGCGGAGGCTCTTGTAGTAGCGGAGGACGAGATGCAAGAGACGGCCGAATCCCCCGCTCCCATCGTATGAGTGGACGTAGAAATGTGGACAAGGGGGATAGGTCGGAT